TATATATATATATATATATATATATATATATATATATATATATATATATGCAACCCTTCTGATTGATGCATAACTATAAATCAATGAAACTAATGAATTTCTCTGAAGTGACCGGGCCGCAGTTTCATAAGGTTCACGTCGGAGTTGGTCATCGATTGGATGCTTTTTCCTCTGGGGTGTTGGGTAATCAAAAAATATAAACTCTTGAGTTTTCAAGTGATTTATTGTAGGATGTGCTCTGTGCTCAATCCTCTCATGTCTCTATCTCAGTTTTAGGTATTGGGAAAGGAAATGGAGTGCTAGAGCATCTGTGCAAATCACATGTAACCAGGGTAAAAGTTTGTTATATTTTATGTTATATTATGTAATAATTACTCACATTAAACTGCTATTCCATTATTTATTTGTTTATTTGACTGCCTATATATTTTCCACTAATTGATTCTGAATCCATAGTAAGAAATGAACAAATCAGAACTCTTGAGCAGATGTGTAGTAGACAATTTTATGCAGACTATTGTTGTGTTTATTTTATATATGAAGGACTACATGCTTGAGGGGGAGTTTGGAAAAGCCACTGATAATTTCACTCACACAGGCCGAGTCATTGAAAAAACAACATACGGTAATGTGTGCATTACAATATCATAACTATCATATTTGTTACGTATAGTATACAGACTAAGAATTTGTAGTAAACTTTGTCTTTATTTTCTAGACCATGTTACCCTGGATAAGCTCGAGAGAGTTCTTGCCATGATACAGGGAGCCAACCAGAAAGCCTTAATTATGTGAGTCGCTATAAGAATATTATTCGACATAATATTAAATTGCATACTGTCTGACTGTGTGTAAATATTTGGTTAATGTATAGCATGTCTCTGAGTATGTTATTATGTCTCTGTGCAGGTATTCTCAGGTGGATCTGCACACTCAGGAGGCTTACGAGCTTGCAGTGAGGGGTTTATTGTATCCTCATGGTAAAAGCCCACCGATTCTGACTGGTCTGCGATGCATACATTTCAATCCACCACATTTCACATTGGGTTAGTTCTCTGAATTCTATATAACGTACTTATACATAAGTTTATGTTTAACATGTGTCCTTTAACATTTCTTTTTCTCATTTCAAATCAGAGGTCCAGTGTGTGAATGAGACTCAGAAATATCTGCGTAAATTGATTCACGAGGTTGGACTAGAGCTGCGGACGTCTGCTGTCTGTTCTGGAGTGCGTCGTACACGAGACGGTCCCTTCAAAGTAGAGAACGCACTCACCCGACAACACTGGACTGCTGGCAGCATTATACAAGCTATTGCTCACTTTAGCAAGGCTACTCGCAAAATCAGAAAGTTAGAAATGTACAAGCAGACTGCTGGTCAATTGAACTCAAATGCACAGGTCCAAGAGCAAACCAGAAGTCAAACTGAGCAAATAAATCAACAGCATGTTGAACTCTCAAGCTCTACTTCTGATACAGTTGTGGACAGAGAGACACCTGTGACACTGAGTGAGGGGAGAACAAAACATTAAGTTAAACGAATCATCTGCCTCAATTAGGATGATTTGATTTCTGAATTCTGAGACGTATTTATCTGTTCACTATAATTTATGAATTTGTTATACGATCATCATTGTGCATCATTAAAACTGCATTTTAGTTATGTTCTCAGTGTCATCATTGATAATATTTAGGTTGTGTGTGTACTTGTTTAGCTATACTTGTGAGGGCCAAATGTCCTCACTTAAATAGTGAAATATTATGACTTTTACATGTCCTCACTAGTTAAAGTCTTATAAATCAGTCAAATCGTGTTTCTGTTTAAATATAGTGTCCTGCACAGTTTTCTGTGATGGTTATGTCAGGAGTAGGGCTAAGCCATAGAAAATATTATTAACCTGATTAAGCATGGGAGTCTACAGTGGGGGAAAAAAGTATTTAGTCAGCCACCAATTGTGCAAGTTCTCCCACTTAAAATGATGAGAGAGGCCTGTAATTTTCATCATAGGTATACCTCAGCTATGAGAGACAAAATGAGAAAAAAAGTCTAGAAAATCACATTGTAGGATTTTTAAAGAATTAATTGGTAAATTCCTCTGTAAAATAAGTATTTGGTCACCTACAAAGCAAGATTTCTGTCTCTCACAGACCTGTAACTTCTTCTTTAAGAGGCTCCTCTGTCCTCCACTGGTTACCTGTATTAATGGCATCTGTTTGAACTCGTTGTCAGTATAAAAGACATCTGTCCACAACCTCAAACAGTCACACTCCAAACTCCACCATGGCCAAGACCAAAGAGCTGTCAAAGGACGCCAGAAACTAAATTGTAGACCTGCACCAGGCTGGGAAGACTGAATCTGCAATAGGTAAGCAGCTTGGTGTGAAGAAATCAACTGTGGGAGCAATTATTAGAAAATGGAAGACATACAAGACCACTGATAATCTCCCTTGATCTGGGGCTCCACGCAAGATCTCACCCTGTGGGGTCAAAATGATCACAAGAACTGTGAGCAAAAATCCCAGAACCACACGGGGGGACCTAGTGAATGACCTGCAGAGAGCTGGGACCAAAGTAACAAAGGCTACATCAGTAACACACTGCGCTGCCAGGGACTCAAATCCTGCAGTGCCAGATGTGTCCCCCTGCTTAAGCCAGTACATGTCCAGGCCCGTCTGAAGTTTGCTAGAGAGCATTTGGATGATCCAGAAGAGGATTGGGAGAATGTCATATGGTCAGATGAAACCAAAATAGAACTTTTTGGTTAAAAACTCAACTTGTTGTGTTTGGAGGAGAAAGAATGCTGAGTTGCATCCAAAGAACACCATACCTACTGTGAAGCATGGGGGTGGAAATATCATGCTTTGGGGCTGTTTTTCTGCAAAGGGACCAGGACGACTGATCCGTGTAAACGAAAGAATGAATGGGGCCATGTATCGTGAGATTTTGAGTGAAAACCTCCTTCCATCAGCAAGGGCATTGAAGATGAAACGTGGCTGGGTCTTTCAGCATGACAATGATCCCAAACACACCGCCCGGGCAACGAAGGAGTGGCTTCGTAAGAAGCATTTCAAGGTCCTGGAGTGGCCTAGCCAGTCTCCAGATCTCATCCCCATAGAAAATCTTTGGAGGGAGTTGAAAATCTGTGTTGCCCAGCGACAGCCCCAAAACATTACTGCTCTAGAGGAGATCTGCATGGAGGAATGGGCCAAAATACCAGCAACAGTGTGTGAAAACCTTGTGAAGACTTACAGCAAACGTTTGACCTCTGTCATTGCCACCAAAGGGTATATAACAAAGTATTGAGATTAAATTTTGTTATTGACCCAATACTTATTTTCCACCATAATTTGCAAATAAATTCTTTAAAAATCCTACAATGTGATTTTCTGGATTTTTTTTTCTCATTTTGTCTCTCATAGTTGAGGTATACCTATGATGAAAATTACAGGCCTCTCTCATCTTTTTAAGTGGGAGAACTTGCACAATTGGTGGCTGACTAAATACCTTTTTTCCCCACTGTATATATATATATTTACACTTTTTAACCACAAATGCTTGTCTTGCACTAGCTCGACTACACGCATTACATAATCACATTGGAAAGGTCAAGCGTGACATATAGGCGGAAGTACCGACCCAGTATTTACAAAGCAAAGAAAAGTCAAACGCCCTTTACAAAAAAAAGGTAAAACAATGATATCGGACGGTTTTGAAGTTTTCGCCCTACCCTACCTTTCTGAACCGGAGTACACCGAGGAAGAGCTAACCGTGCGTGACCTTTCCAACGTGATTACATCATGCGTGAATTTGCGGAGCTAGTGCAAGATGAGCATTTGTGGTCAAAAAGTATATAAATATTTTTTTTAAGAAAATGACCGATAGTTTCACTAGATAAGACCCTTATTCCTCGGCTGGGATCGTGTAGAGCCCTTTGAAGCTGCACTGAAACTGCAGTTTGAACCTTCAGCCCGTTGGTCCCCACTGAAGTCCTTTATATGGAGAAAAATCCTGGAATGTTTTCCTCAAAGACTTTAATTTCTTTGCGACTGAAGACCGAAAGACATGAACATCTTGGATGACACGGGGGTGAGTAAATTGTCAGGAAATTTTTATTCTGTAAGTGAACTAATACTTAAAGGGTGTCATGATATACCGGTATTGAAAAGTACACAACTCTCACATGTAATGTCTGTTTCATTCATACTTGACCCCGAAGGGCGCCCTCGTACAGAAATCCCACAAGCCAGATGCAAAGAAATAATTAAATGACTTTCCAGTAAATCCAAAGGCTTCCAGCTATGGTTGTAGCTGAATAAAATGTAGAAAATGTTTGTCTGATGAAACATGAAGACAATTAACATATCATTGCAACAGTGTATGGTTTATCTGTGTTCAAGCCATCTCAGGTATTTTTCATAAGGATAATGTATTATAATGCTATGCTAATGATACTGATAATAAGCCACATTAGTCCACAGAAAGAAGTAATTTCAAACACGTTATTGACGCAGTAACGCAAGTTTGAAGTAAAAATATGTTGTTATTCTCATAAACTGTTGTACTTAGACGCTGTATACAGTATACTTATGTGCAGGGACGGACTGGGAGTAAAGAACGGCCCTGGATTTTCTCCCAAATAGGCCCACCACAACTACAAACAGTCGCTAAATCTCACAAAATTACAGCAATCCTATCGCATTTATGGCAAATAACATCACAAAGCCCATGGTGACCCTGCTGACCAGAGCATGTGAGCGAAGCGGAGCGGTGTGATGCTCCACTACGTTTTCCGCTCTATGGATGTGCGCTCCACTCAGTCGCTCTAACCGCCCAAGCAAGCCCTCCGTTAATATTCCGCTCACGCTCACCGTAAACCAATTCCCGCTCAGATCCTGCTCCGTTCTGTAAAGAACAAATTTGCGTGCATTATATTACATTATAAATTACTGCTGCCTATATCCTATATCTAGCCTACATTCTGAAGGACTACCTATTGTTTCGGCTCAGTGTTTTGTTTTTTTATAATATTTTAATAGGCCTAAGTGGTGTAGGCCGCTCACGCTCACCGTAAACCAATTCCCGCTCAGATCCTGCTCCGTTCTGTAAAGAACAAATTTGCGTGCATTATATTACATTATAAATTACTGCTGCCTATATCCTATATCTAGCCTACATTCTGAAGGACTACCTATTGTTTCGGCTCAGTGTTTTGTTTTTTTATAATATTTTAATAGGCCTAAGTGGTGTAGGCTAATATCTTCTGTACTCTGTAGTTCTGTATTTAGGCCTATATACAGCTGTGTGTTA